TGTTTTCCTAGTATATAATAAACAAGAAATAGTCCTAGTACGTACATAATTGTAAAACTCATAATCTATAGAACTAAGGCATACAATCGGATAATTTTAATTGTATTAGTGTATGACATACCCCAGATATATCCAATTATGTTAACCCAATATTCATAATGCTTACCAGTATTCATTGGAATCACGTAACGTGAACACGTTAAGTTATGTGTTTTTAAAAATATTTTTTTTGGTGTAAATATAAAAATCATATCATAGAGCGATTTGTGCTATAAAATGTCTTAAAGTAAGTAAATATTTAAATAATACGTACATCTTTTTTGTGAAAATCTTGTATTTAGGCTGTGAAAGTGATGGGGTTTTAGAATTTTTAGTTTCTTTTTCGGAATAATTGATTATATTTTGACTTAGTTTATTGTATATCTCCGACACTGCTCTCGTAAGTTACTGAAGTTTCACATCATCCCCTACTTTTCATCCCCAGACGAAGTACAGCCACAGATTTTGAATTAAAATAGTGGCAATTTAATTATTTTATTCAGTGTTACTTGTTTTAGGAGTTGAATCTATTAAATTTGTGTCTTGTAGTTTGAGTAAGAAGTGTAAATACGTTTACTGAAAATTAGACGTCGAGCTTTGTAGGTTTAGCTGCATTTAAGTTTAGTATTTATATTTCACGTATAATTTTGCATTCCACGATAATGATAACATAGCCAAAATTTCTGGTGATGGAGAAATTAGAAAATCCTAAGATATTCCTTAATATTTCAGTTTTACGAGGTACCACATCATGATGGGGTAAATTTTTCGGTGATGTTTGGCGCGAGCAAAATCCACTAAAGCAATAACTTGAATATCCCATATTACATCGGAAATATAAAAAGCGACTTAAATATAAATTTTTATACTTTACTATATAAACACCATAACTCTAAAAATGATAACTTCTATATAAGATCTCCAATTGTAACCTTTAGGGAACAATTTTTTAAATATTTATTCTGTAATCATATTCTTTATTTAAGAACCCCTTGTATAAAGTTACAGTATGATACAGCATGAAATGCTTTGTGAAAATAGAACCTGTAACGATCTACAAATAGAAAACATTTATACTTGCATCATTTGATAGCTGATAGAAAGTTGTCACGTTTATGTGATACACATACATCTATAAATAAAATTGAAGTATCTGTTTGCAATGTCAAAATGACAGTTTTTTTACTAAATATGTATTATGAAAGTATATACGATACTAATAAAAAAACAATTTTCAAAAATTTTGTCTGCCTGTCTGTTTGTTCCGGCTAATCTCCGAAACGGCTGGAGCGATTTTGACGCGACTTTCACTGGCAGATAGCTGATATTCTAAAGATTAACTTAGGCTACTTTAATTAAAAAAAAAACAATCACGATTCCACTCGAAAAAATTAAAACCCCTGAAATTGTGAACAAAATCGTACCTAGGTACGCAACCTAGCGAATCGAGGGTAAGCCACTACTTAATAATATATAATTAACAAGATTATGTAAATACGAGCTAATATAGGGAAAATTATAATAAAAATCGAAGCTAGATTGTAATGAAAAACGTATATTTATTTAGCAAGTGGTAATATTTATACAGAATATTAAACGTAACTTCTTTTTTAGGTTTACGTAAAAATTTCACATCTTGTCGGATTTAAGCCAAATCAAAATCAAAATAAATCCGCGAAAAAATCCGATAAGATAGTTTTATTTAAAATATTAAAGCTAAATTAAATATCAATATTAACGATAGGGCTCAAATTTTAAAAATATACATATAGTTTATTCCTAGATTTAAAACTTCATATAACTCTATATTATAATATTATACAGAGTGTAGAACCTTTCTACATCGTTACGTTGCCGCATCATTAACGATATCATCGGTCCGGGAAAAGTGCGGTTCCTTGCATATTCTCAAATTTTACTCTACAACGTACATTCTTTATGATATATCATGCCAAGTACCTCGAAATGCAAGCTTTTACTACTTCTACGTGCTTGTGAAACGTAAACTTTAAAATTTAAGTAAAATATGTTATAATATTATATTATATTAGATGGTAATATCGTTATATGGTAAATTATGCACCGACTTAAACCTAATGATAAATCATTGGTTTTAACAACCAAAAAGTTTATTTTAAATAAAACTATCCTTTCGGATTTTTTCGCAGATTTATTTTCATTTTTGGTTCCCGACGTTTCGAATGTTCACAAAAAAATCTGAAAAGAGAAGTTTTATATATTCTCGTAAATCTAAAAAAAGTATTAGGTTATTTAAAGTTAATAATTGAGAAACCCACTGAAGGAAAGGTAAAGAAAAATGATATAAAAGCAAACAACGTAAGAGCGGCTCTATTTCGCTTACAAAGTTAGTAGCCAAGTACTGAGTCTTTGCATTTTTAATAACTTCTTCAAGTCACTTGACGCATGTTGTCTCGTCTTGTTTCGACATTCGTGCTTGAGACGTGTTCTTATTTTAGAATTTTGCTAAGTGTAAAAATAACAATTTATAATTGGATTATGAAAATTGAAAACGTTAATTACTTATTAAGCTTTGTTTACAAAATACTTAAAAAAGGAGAAATTACACAATGAAATTGTGTGTTTATATATATATATATATATATATATATATATATATATATATAAACACAATTTTATATATATATATAATTTTTTAATTGACTGTTCCTTAAGAGTGGACCATATTGTAAAAATCAATCATAAATTCCACCTATCTGAGTGGAATTATTACTTTTATACCTTTTAAATTAAAAAAATTAATGGTTTGATATTCATATTCTAAAAAAAAATACTGAAACGTTTCAAAATTATTATTAGTTCCAAATTAAACCTCTTAACTAAGAGAAAAACTAGCGTCAAATTTATTCCAACTAAGAACTGATTATATTTTTTACTAGCGACTCACCCTCGCTCCCCTCGGGTTTGCCTCTAGTTAAGTTTTAACGTTTAGTATAATTTTTTCAGAGATGAGATATTTTCCCGCAATAAAAAGTATCCTTTATATTGACCCGTATAACCAGGTATCACCATCATATCAAATTTTATCAAAATCTGTCCAGTGGTTTTCACGTGATATGGTCACAGAAAGACAGACAGACAGAGAAAAAAAATAAAAACTATAGATTCGGCCTCTGTATCGATATAATGACTATTTTATTAAGATTTACCAAGAAATATTTAATGCACAGATTCGACTGAGTTAGAATTTTACTATTATAGATTTCATAAAACAAAAGAAAACTAAGAAAAACTCTAAGAGGAACTAAGTTAAAAGCGTGTAAAACGAGATCAATACATATAAAAATACTTACAAAAATGAAGCTATTACTTTAAGCTGTCGTGCATTTGGCAAGTTTTCAAGAACCATTTCGTAGATTGCAGGGGAATGAGTACTGTCACTGTGATGTCCAATGCATATAAAGTGTCGCATACCTGTACCTTAAACCTTCATATAACAAGTAGATGTAGTGTATATTGCGGATACTAAACAAACTATGACCTGAGATGGCCTCCGTACGTTTCTGAGGTCTATATATATGTAGTATATTTTCTGAAAAAATGCAATTTAATATCTTTTCTGAAAAAAAAGGCCAACGAAGCTCGATTGCCCAGGTGTTAACTATAAATTAAGTAATTAATTTATTTACAAGATATACCTACGCCTTAAATGAATATTTTTATTTTTGATCAGCAACTTATCCTAGTTTCTCTCGATTCAGTTATTATAAATAACATATTATTATTATTTACTACTAGCAGAACCCGCGGTTTTTCTCGCGCTAAAACTACAAAAAAACTCTAAAAAGGTAGGTTTCATACAAATTTTCATCTGTTATTTTACCACGTTATGGGATGAATTTCGAAAAATGCTAAAACACGTATTTAATTAATTGTATTGAAGAGTGTTAATACCAAGTTTCAAGTAATTCTGATCATAAATAATTTTTGGATTGTATTATAACGTGTTTTAGAAAGTCCGTGGGAAAGAGATAATCTCCCGCGTTACAAAGTATAATTATTTATTTATTTATTTAACTGTGTACTGAATTTCATCCAAATTGGCACAGCCGTTTCAGCATGAAGAAGTAACCAACACACAAACTTTGAAACAAACAAATTTGTATTTTTGTATGCTTGTTACGGATAAACTCAAAAACAACTGGACGGATTTAGATAAAATTTGGTAAGGAGATAGTTTGAGACCCTGGAAAGGACATAGAATATTTTTATTGAAGAAATCATCCCTTAAAGGGGTGAAAATGGGGAAGAAAATGTGTATGGGGAATCAACCCAAACCAAGTCAAAAGGGACGAACCCGGGCGAAACAAGGGTGAGTCGCTAGTTTATAATAATTCCGTTGTGATTTTACTCTATTTATAAAAGAACAACAATATTTGTATGTAACAAATGTATCTTGAATGAGTAGTTCCCTTACGCAGTACAAATAAGATTATCGTTCGAGGTAATTAAATTATTATATGATATACGTAGACAAAAACCCGCCCTCGCATTGCTCATGTCGTGGCTAAGCCCCCAGCAGTTTTTTTCCGACATGAGTTCAAATTTTTACTATAATTGTTATATTTCCTAAAAAGGAATAGTATTTATTGACTTATAAAAGCATCCATGAAGCTCAAATAAAAAATATAAAAAAAAGTATTTATTTGAACGTTATAAATTTACTACCTTTTAAACTCTAATAAGAAATATACTTTCTTACAATTACGCGAATATTTGATATTTTAAATAAAACTACCTTATCTAATTTTCCTGGATTTATTTTGATAAAGGTTACCGATGTTTTTAATAGTTTACAAGCAATCATTAATCAGCATTAAATCCGACAAATGCCGACAAGTTTTTATTTAAAACACACAGTGAAACAACTTAGGAACGATCACATCATATATCCAAGTTGTGTTATTCTATGAAATTATTTAATGTATACTAAGTACAGTAAGTAAGTACCTTTAACACAAACGTTCTTGAACAATTTTCACCAATAGTGATGAAACTTTTTTGGCAACCTATTTAGTAAAAAAATATACACCTAAAAAAGGAACAATACTTATTGATATCGGTTGATAGCTAATGTATAATATAATAATAATATGTTGGGATATTAACACTCAGCTCCATCTAGTTCCGTGGTAAGCTACGAGGCCTGTGTTATGGATACCAGATAGTTGATACACTACACATATATAACTTTAAATACATACATATTATAAATATTAACACCCATGACTGGAGTACAAACATTTGTGCTCATCACACAAATAAATGCACTCAGCGGGACTGGAACCCGCGGCCGCTGGCACAGCAAGTAGGGTCAATTCAAACAGAGCCAAATACAAATAAGTATTATAATATATCAATAATGCAGAGGTAATAAAAATTTAACAGTTCTCTGGTAAAGAAATAAACATAAATGTGGGAGATAAAAAGAAAAGAAAAAAATACAAGAACATTTCAATTTCAATCTTTTACTTTTATTGCTATTACTTACAGTTAACAGTTTAAACCCACGTTCTCCTGTTTTTATAAGCTTTTATTTTTACCGGTGGTAGGACTATGTCAAGCCTGAGGAGTCCGACTGGATTTTATTTCTCCCGCCAAGCAACAATGATTACATTTGTTGTTCCGGTTTGAACACACAGTTACAACGCACTTCCGGTTCTGCATTTTTGTTACATAAAACCTAGGTGTCATGGGCGACACGTACTGCTTTCCATTAGGTGGTCTGTCTGCTCGTTTGTCACTGAACACCACAAAAAATAATTAACTTGCAATGTTTTTATGAATGTTTGTTCGGCTCAAATCTTGCAATTGAATTTTAAACCAGTTATTCTCAACTGATTGAGCTGAAATTTTGCACACACTTTTAGTTTGGATGACAATGTATGGTTAGGTAAGTAATGTCATTCTAAATCCAATATGGCGGACTCCCAAAGATGGCGCACTATGTTTTTTTTTTGCACTCCCATGATATGGATATATATGAATGGGTTTGCTAAGAAAAATACGAATAACTAGAAAAAAATTATAATTGTAAAAAAATATTTCTCTATACGTCTACGTCAACACTACGTGTTAAATAGTTATATATATATATATATATATATATAATACTTTTTATGTAGATATCTACTTTAAAGTTCTTAGAAAACATAAAATAACGAAGAAATAATTAACTTGAGATAAATAAAACAGTCACAATTTGTCTTATGACCAAAGAAAATAAGGTTTCTTTATAAAATCCAACAGTTAAGTTTAAAATGCATGTTGAAGTCGAAACGACGATGTTTTATTTAAATGCTTGATCTTTATTTTAGATACGGTTTTGAGGTCGATTTTACATAAACGAGATATATAACGTAAGAGGGATTTATAAATGTTTTATTCTAAAACTGATATAATAAACTAGCGGTTTACCCTCGCTTTGCTTGGGTATGCCCATAGGTGTTTAACAGTAGCCTATATGATACTCCAGGTCATAGCCTATCTTTAATTAAGTTTCATCAAAATCCGTTTTGCCGTTTCTGCATAAAGTAGTAAAACGTACACACATATACGAACATTCGCATTTATAATAATAAAACGTAGTACTTTGTGTACTCAACATGATTGTTACTTATTGACAATGTAACGACTCAACAAGGTTTGAGTGTTTGCAATAAAGATAGCTTATATTCTATAACGTCCCACTTCTGGACACGGTTCTCCCTTTAATGCAAGGGCGATCAGGACTTGTCCACCACGCTGGCCAAGTGCGGGTTGGCGGGCTTTACATGTCTTTCAAAAACTTGCCAGGTTCTCTCAGACATGCGGGTTTCTTCGCAATGTTTTCCTTTATTCTAAGACAAATGATAATCTTGTTGAAAATTACGCGCACATTATAATATCAGAGGTACGAGACCAGCCATTTAAGCCCTCTTTACTTAGTTTTCCTTGTGAGCGCTATACCATAGTATATTCGTTAATTGCGGGATTGTACAAACTAATTTCATATCTATAATAATATTAATGACCACAATTTTTTACTCTTCCGGGAATATAACGTCGTACCACTTTTTCACCGATTGTACAAGTAGAAACACTAGCACTGTGCCATCTGTTGGCCTAATTAGCGTTGCAAGTAATTATACCCGCCGAAATGTTTTAAAATCCATTTTCCTTTGAAACAACGCTTTTGGCATTACTCATACATTTTTTTTTTGTTAAAATAAGCCTTTTGCTGATGAAAAATAAAGTAGGTTACTTTGTCTTTGACTCTTTGATTTCACTTAAATTATAGGAAGTTGTTTTCGTGCCATTTAACCCTTCACTTGAATCCACTAATCTTTAGTTATTTTTATAATATTTGGATGAACTACCCAATGTATCGAAATAAAAGTAGCCTATAACAATCTGCGATCCACAAACTTAACGTTTTGCGAAAAAATATTTTGTTAACTTAAAAGTTTCATCGAATTCGGATTAACTTTCAAAGTAAGAATTCTATCTCTTTTTAACGGTGTTTTATTTCGAAATCTAGATATAAATAGGCAAAGACAAACCAGATGCGTGCCTTTTCCTACTCTGTTAGTCAACTGATTTTTTTGTTTAGTAGGTAGCTATTTTAGCTTTGTTTTAAAAAAAGTTGAAAACATCTGGTCCCTTTTATATCGATAGGTAAATTCTATTCATATAATATGATTTTCTCTAATTTTTAATAATGATTATGGTCGACTTTCGATCCATAGGCGAACATTACTTGATATAAAAGTCCATTTTAGTTTTAACGTCATTGAATAAAGAATCATGAAAAATCTATGCACAACATAGTAAACATCCGAATGACTTCCTACACCCGAGTACATCTTTCTTGAAATCTAGTTTTATAGTATTTGTAATAAAATCATTTAATTCAGATTACTATACATAAAACAACGTTCCAATATTTTTAAAGTTAAAAAAAAATAGTTTTTATTATCTCATACTATAATTTAAAGTGGTCGAATTGTATTATAGCTATTAAATGAAAAAAATATATAATATGTGTATATTGATTTATAAACATAGATACACATTTCCTAAAAAATATCGCTTCAAAAAGTGGCGTCGGGTGTGACATGAAGTCAAACCGAAGAATAAAATTCAAAAATCGAAAGTTCTAATTGTCTAAACAGAAATTCTAACTTACACAAACCACATAAAGTCCTTTTTTTTAAAGAAAAAACGTGCGTTTTAATTTTATCATCCGAAAAGCAATAAAAAAAAAGAGATTTGAAAGAAGCGCAATTCTTTGAATTGTGCGTTTATTTTGAGGACACTTTCGAAATGCTAATTATGTATTTTTAAATGTTTGTATATCAATATCTAGTATTCTCCACTATACCTCTATCTCTTTCGTTCGTTTTGACGAGTTCCATATATTTGTTAAAGACGAGACCTAATTAAAAATAATTTCCTTCTATTCCAGAGGAGAAACAAAAAGAACCTACAGAGGAGAGCAAGACATCAGAGGAAGAGGCTGCGACGAAGATCCAGGCGGCGTTCCGGGGTCACAAGACTAGGCAGTCAATAAGCATGAAGACCAGCAAACCAAGTCAACAACCAGAGCCGGAGCCGACGAAGGCAGAACTGGAGGCTGAGTTCCGATCTGACGATAAAGGTAAGTGTAGCTAAAAGAGATGAAACCTTATTGTAGAATTAAAATTTCCGGCCATTTTTTTTTAAATTAGCGGTGCTCTGTTAAATTAGCGTATTTATATGGGTAGAAATATAAATAAACAAGATTGTGTAAAAAGAGAACTAAAAAGATGTGAACAAGTTTATAAAGGAATCTAATTTATGCCCTCGAAGACGTTCACGTTTTGACCTTGCTACAAATTTTGCTACATGTATTTATGTGTCATAGTATTAATTTTTTTTCAAAACACAAATTGGGGCATAAAATCCACCATTTTGATTTTTAATAATATCTATATACCCTATGACAATCGCGTTTTCAAGAATAATCTAACGACGACGTTTAAATCATCACAATCGGCTAAGTCGTTTAGTAATTACTAGAGAGTCGGACATACATACTACATATGTACATACATACAGATTAAACACATAACTCTCTGTTGGTCTTCGTCGCAGTTGGGTAATAAAAAATATAATGAGCGGTATAATGCCATGTAAAGTGTCACGTTTCCTAAATATTTGAAAGTAAAGGTAAGATATCATACGAATATGATGCAAACATTAAAAAGGAACTTTTAGAAAAAAAGGTGGCGGGTCGCTGAAGCTAGCTTTTTCGCAAAAAAATGTTCGAACCTTTTTGGCCATAATTATGTAAATACTTTTTAATTAAAAGTTATATCGAGTTTCAAATTACCTAATTAGTCAATGTTTAGGGGTAATTTTTTTTCTAAACTCGTAAGCGTAAAATATAATTGATTCATAAAGCAGTCAGAAATAATAAAAAGGCTGCGTGCAAAATTAAAAAAAAGAAACTTGAGAAAATGTATGTTAGATGTTGTAGTACAGATACATACTCGTACATATATTAAATCTAACTTATTTCATCCAGATAAATGCATTTACGTATACGATCTACACTCCAGCTTAGTACCTAATACAGTACACACATGTTTATTTACGAGTATGTGAGTATCGCCAAAGAAAACTTTATTATAGCAGGGTGTCATGGGATCACTTTATAATACTAGTATAATAATCTGAGTGTCAGCTTTTCTAAGCTAAAGCTCCTCTGCTTTAAGGCATCACGAGTCCTGAACCTACTAATGATAATGTAAAGAACTAATGTAATGTATATTAGGGAGGAGCGAAAAAAAATTGTTTTTTCGTTTAGGGTAGAATTTGTAACTTATAAAAAAAAACAAAATTATTGAAATAAAGAAAAAAAAATTACGTAACATTTTGAGGTGGCATACTGTTTTTTAAAAATAATTAATTTAAATGTTTACTTTGAATGAAAACATTTTTTTCAACTGATCATCTTTGAAAACATTCAAGAATTTTTATGAGAGTTTCTTTTAATATCAATTAAGTATTCAATAAAATATTAAATAAAACATTTATATATATATATATATATATATATATATATATATATATATATATATATAATATTAAGAGCATTGAAACTGGTTAACGATACACCTAAAGGAATATCTTGTGGAGAAGGCAAAAGGGTGGCGTAAACTAATTTCGATAAGATTAGATTAGCGTTTCGTCGAAGCTTTGTCCTCATTCCTCTTGTTTTACGCTAAAGTTTAGGTAAGATGATTATTCTAGTAAAGTTTTCCTTCGTTAACTTTCCCATAATGTTATTCGATATATACCATAATCTAAAACTACAGCGTTAGAAATATAACACAATATTTTTAGCGAACGTACTACTTTTGGTATAGGTTTTATTGCTGAACGATAGATATCACAACATATTTTTGCATTCTTCCCGTTTGTTTCGGTCTAGTGACCAGCGTCTACGGCTGCAGAACCTGAGAGAAAATCTGAGGATTCAAATCCATGTCGGGTCAAACTGATAAACGTTTTGTTTGGTAGGAAAACTTAGAAGCCCGGAATTTTGGAATTGAGTTTTGATTTGGTTTGATTAGGCTAGTCTCAATGAAATTATTTAAATATCTTATAATATTAAATAAGCAATTCTTGTATATATACAAATTCATTTCGTGTATCAGAAACTGCTTTAAAAATTTGAATCAAATTTTGTATTTAGATAATATTTTGCTTTTAAAGTTTATTTTTATATGTATTTACTGAATTGTTTAATATCTTTTACAAAAAACGTCGAGCAATACTCGATCGCCCAGGTACTATACATAATGCATAGTCATACTCGCTTGTAGTAAAACCTCATGTTCTAAAATGCTTTAAGCCGTTTAGGTTTCGAGTTTGCCAAAGAAATAGACTAACATTATTCCATTTTACGCAATTGGTTAAAAATCTCAAGTTCTACAATTTTCTTTAAACATTAATACTTCAGAATTTGAAATTTAGCTTATAGCGAAGAACTGTAAATAATTAAGTAAGTGTCTTAGTTTTGTAGGAAAGCTTGGATGTTATTATTCAAATGTAATAGTTTAGTTTTAAAGATCTCCAAATTGTGAAATATTACTTATATATGAAATGAAGTAATCAGTTTAAGTAAAAACAACAGATTTTTTTTAATAAACCTATCTTTTCGGATTCTTTCCGACGTTTCAAATACTTTACAGCAATCGTGGTCATGGGAGAGACTAAGGTTACCTATAGACGTCTCAAACACATACTTGTTACAGACCACCCACTATTTTACAAAAATCATTTCAAAAATTTAAAAATGGCAGTAAAGTACCTTACAATATTTGTTGATTTTTATTTCTAAACATCTTAAAAAATTTAATAAGTATTACAATGAAATATAGCAATATTATTTATTTAATTTTGGCTGCTATTATTATAAATATTACAATTTTAAAAAACTTTATTGATTACTAATATTATTTAGTGTTGCTATTATCGTTGGCAACCAAAAATCAATATAAATCCGAAAAGATAGTTTTATTTAAAATGTCAAATATTCGCGTTAATCTAAGAAAGTATTAACAGATTTTTTATTTTCTTAATCGCTCTGACCTTCTGTTAATACATATTTTAAACTACCGAGACTCTCCCCTTTACAATAATGTATGTAAGTCTGCCCTATTTGTTGACATTTATGATTACTGCTCCGCTCCCTTGGGTAGTAGCATGATGATATATAGCCTATAGCCTTCCTCAATAAATGAGCTATCTAATGCAAAGTCGGTTTTGTTACAACACTTATAACTCGAGAACGTCTGGACTGATTTTTATGATCTTTCATTTGTTGGATTTGTCTCCTCCCCGAATAACATAATATCTATTAAAATAACGAAAAAAGCACGCAAAAAAAATTACATGGCTAACGCTGGCTTAAAACTATTTAAATTTATTTAAAACCTCGGGACGATGTTGAGCCGCTAGTATTATATAAATACATACATAGGGACGAACCCGAAAGACGCGAGGGTGGGCAAGAGTTTTTTTTTTGTAGATTGAACGTGGGGGAAACTGTGGGCTCTACTAGTAATTGTATATAGAATATATGCTAAAACCATTTGCACGTTATGTTCGTTTATCAATATTTCACAAAATATCTGGTTTACTATCAATGAATATTGAAGTAGATTGAAAATTGTGGTTTCCAAATCGAGCAGTAAATTGTGGACCTCAATATGCATACCTAAGGACTCGTGATAAATTATTTTGTGGGTGTTTGCGCATAAAAAACTAAGGCTTTATTCTTGTGTTGACTGAAAGACTGAAGCTAAATAATATATTTTTTTATCTATACATATGATAAAATTCTGAGTCGAATCTGTACATTAAATATTATTTAGAAAATCTTACTGAAATAGTCATTATTATCGATACAGAGGCCAAATCTACAGTTTTTAGAATTTTTGTCTGTCTGCCTATCTGTCTGTCTGGGAACGCATCACGAGAAAGCCACTGGACAGATTTTGATGAAATTTGGTATGATGATAGCTGGTTATCCGGGTCAACATATAGGATACTTTTTACTGCGGGAAAATATCTCATCTCTGAGAAATCTATATTGAACGTTAAAACGTAACCAGATCTAAGCCCGAGCAAAGCGAAAGTGAGTCACTAGTAGTATATATAGTCAAACTATTCCATACTAACCGTTAAAACGTACCTAGGGGCGATGAGTCGCTAGATAAATAAAAAATATTTAGAAAGTGATCCCTTGACCACTTACTATTATAATACAATATACATATATTAATGAAGGCACAGTAGCAACTTAGTAAGCAATTGTGGAGAACGTGACATGCCTATCGGAATCCCTCATTGATCGAAGTATTCGGTATGTGGATTGTTTCTGGCTTGAAAGCAGATGTAGGTCACCATATCGTAACAGGAACAAACGTTTGGTTTCGAGTTCTATTCAAAATCCATATACGAGTATTACACCTACAATTTTTGGAACTTATAATAATAAGTTCTTTTCGAAAACATTAAGCTATTTAAATTTAAATATTTTTTGTTAAAAACAATACATATATAGACTTCTAGGGGTGGTATTTTTTTTAATTAACCTTTTTTTATTTATAACGAATAATTCATTATTTAATGTTTTATTTAGAAGAAATAAATGCACTATTGATTCAATATTTTACTATAATTTTATAATATTATATGGTGAAAGTCATTAGAATAAGTTTAATACACATTCCTAATGATAACAGCATTTTATATTTTTTCTTCTAGTTTTCTATTGGTAAACATTTTTAGATAGATATAACAGTAATAAAAATCGGACAAGTGCGAGTTTGACTCACGCACCGAGTGTTCCGTAGCATGAATCATTAAAATAAGTTTATAATTGCAATTTTTTTGTGATGTAACAGAGATTATCGGATTTTTCTCTACGCGTTCCTGAGAAATAGAGTCCCAACAGACAGACAAACAGACATAGTGATAGATAAACATACAGAACACAGGCAGACATACAAACGGACAACGAAGTAATCCAATAAGGGTTCCGTTTTTCCTTTTGAGGTACGAAACCTTCATCATCCGAAGAAATATAACGCACTTTCAGAGTGT